ACAGACCCCGTCTGTCACTACTACCAACCTCCCGATGCAAACCCTTCCCGCAACCGCACCAGCTATCGCCAACGCCTCCCACACCCGGCTACCGCCCCCTCCGCATCCGCATCCTCCTCCTCCTCCGAGTCCCCATTCCGCCCGCCAAAGTCCTCCCTCTCCATCTCTCTCTCCCGCTCCTTCCCGCGTCTCGCAGCGCTCGCTGACCCCATCGACTACCTCGTGCGCCTCTGCTCCAGCCCCATCGCTGCCTCCCCCCTCCGCACCTCCCGCTCGCTCCGCCACGCCATGCGCAAGGCCTCCTACCTGCACATCCTCCTCCTCCCGGCCCTCCTCCTCCTTTTTCTGGAGATCCCAGGCCCCGTCCTCTACCCAAAGCGTCTCTACCCCGCCGACACCCTCCCCCCCGCCTCGCATCTCCCCACAGACTACCCGCCCCTGGCCCCGCTCACGCGCGTCATCGCCCCCGACCATCCCATCCTGCCGGGCGTCTCTATCGTCGCGTGCTGCATGAACCGCCACGAAACCCTGCGCACCGTGCTTGCCCGATGGCGCGCCGTCGCAAACGTCTCAGAGATCATCGTCGTCGACTGGTCCAGCAACCCCCCGCTGCGCGATGTCGTCGAGCATGTCGCCGATGGCGACCCCCGCGTCAGGTTGATACGCGTCGACGGAGAGGACCAGTGGATCCTTTCCCGCGCCTACAACCTCGCCGTCCGCGCCACCTCTTTTGACAAGATCCTCAGAACCGATTGCGATTACTCCATTGGAAATCAATTTGTCCAAGTCCATGACTTGACCGATCATCGCGATGACCCTATCCTGCGTCAGTCCGCATTAAACCCGCATCATCCCGATGCTGCCCTGACCGCCGCTGCCCGCAAGCTTGCGAGCCCCAAGTTCTACGCGGGAAACTATCAGCACGCCCGAAACGAAAACGAAATCCACCTCAACGGTGCCGTGTACATCAAGCGTGCAGACTTCCTTCGCATCGGCGGATATGACGAGCGCATACAGACGTACGGCTGGGATGATGAGGACCTCTACGGCCGCCTTGTAGAAGCCGGTCTGCAGAAGCAGGATATCAACTACGACCACGTCAGCCACGTGCCGCATGGCGATACCTCGAGAGCCCAGAAAGACGTCAAATTTGTCCAGGTTGAGATTGACCTCAACTCACTTCTTCTCAAGCACCTCCCCAAGTGGAACAGCTCCGCCGTTGATTTTCATGAATGGCAACTGTCCGATTATGCACCTCACACGGATAGCTACGCTGTGCTCACCGCTGTCACCAAACCGCGCTCCTTGAAGGACCTTGTCGCCCCAGCCAACATCAAGAGCGCCTGGAACATGGCCCTGGGTCAGCGACTTGCCAACGACTACCAGGTCCCATGGGATATCATGGAGACCATGGATGTCGCTTCGAAACGATCCTTGCTTGTACGCTTGAACCAACGCATGGAGCACCGGGCCCCGTCCCAGCCTGCGAGAATTTTATTCGCCCATTGCATGCACGGACTCGGGAATCGCCTTCGCGCACTCGGCTCAGCCATGTCTTTTGCAAATCAAACAGATAGGGAATTGGTTATTATCTGGGAAACAGATGCCCACATCGCCGCCAACTTCACCGACCTTTTTAGTGACAATCTTGTCGTGGTGACGCACTTCAAGCCGACGTGGCCTTTCCTTGGATACGATAAGTGGGACAAGGCCTGGCTCAACTTTGAGTTTTTCAATTACATGGAAATGGAGGGTCAAGGGGCTATTAAGGGACAGCAAATCGTCGACAAACCGGACAAGCATTTTTATTTCAAAAGCGCGTACGTCATGGAGGCAGATGCGCAGCTGACCAACTGGGATAAAGACAACGACATGCTGAAAAGTCTCACGCCTGTTTCAGAGGTTACGGAAATGATAAAGCAACATGAGAACAAAGGGCTGGAACGGATGGTTGGAATTCATATTAGAGACCGGACTCTTGATCGCGACATCAAAAACGTGAATTTTGGGACTGAATACGGCGATGCGGCCTCCAAAGAAATGGAGTACTGGCGACGAAAAAGTTCGTATAAGACATTCATGGTCGAAATGCATGAAATGCTGAAAAGGGATCCGTCCTTGCGGTTTTATGTCGCAACAGACACCATGGACGTCATCCCAAAACTCGAAACGGAGTTTCCTGGAAAAATTGTTTCAACAAGTAGGAACTGTGATGACCGCGATGGTCACTGCGTTCGGTTTGCACTCGTCGACATCATTTGCCTATCCCGAACAAAAGAACTAATTGGTTCAAATTGGAGTTCATTTACAGAGGCCGCCTCCCGCATGGGCGGCAAGAAGCCGCGCCTCGCTGGGCAGGACTTTGCTGTCGATGCAAGCAGAAGTGTATAGGAAAGGGAATCAATTTTGATGTACCTTGTTCGCGACATGAGCAGAGAGGCTTTGCTACCCCGAGGGTTAGCTAAATGAAATCTGATGATTGTACAGATTCCGCAGCTTTTTCGATGTAGAGGACATTTTGAATGCGAATTCAGGTTCTAACACAAGGGCGCGGCACTCTCGAGGGCATGTCGGAAGCTTCGCAAAAACTAACTGGGAGCCTTATATTGGCAAAAACTTGTGAGACACAGGACTAGAGACGGCAATGGTGATAGGCCATTGCCATGCCTTGATTTGGAGTTCAAATACCCGAGAGCAATTGGACCGCAAGAAAGCTTATATTTGTTTTAGCTAGAGCGTGTAAAGATATTTTGTGGAAGTAAGACTGAAGCCTCGAAATGTTTGCTTCCAAGACATGCCCACACCTACATTTGTACATACCCTTATTGACAAGGACCTATTTTTGAATCCCGTGCAATATACATACAATGTCATTCTCGCCCCTATCTCGAAAGTTATATCAGCATCAATAGCTGAACACCAACAAAACAACAGATCAAGGAGACTTCAGAAACAAAAAAAGTCTGAATGTTTTAGTTTTAACACGATGTTGGGACGGCATCCCATCAATGCGATTGAAGCACGACAAATTAAGCTACAAACGAATTACGATTGTTCTGTAGGAAACGAAGGACTAAAACCCTTGGGGGAAATATGGACAGCAATTAGGCCCAAAATTTTGCACAGTGTGCCAACAAGGACGTCGACGCCTCCAATTCCGGCTACCTGTGCGATGTTTTGTAGAAAAGTGAGTTAGCTATCGATGTGCTCGTATCCAAGACAATTATCGTTTGCGAGCAGAAGCTGTTCCATTGTGTCTTCCGCTCACTTGCGCAGACTGTGCTCTAGACCTTTTGCCTTCTGTTAATTAACATGTTTGTCGGCTGTCGCCATTTTGCAATCAAAACGAAGTGTGACCCTCGTAGGAGCCGCAGCTATCTTCTCCTCTCTATTTTTGGCGTACCCAGCCATCTCCTAAACCGCGACCCAAAGCTAGAGAGACGCAGCAGCAGAGCAGAACCAAAGACTTTTCCCTCATTCCCGGCGTGTACACCTCCATATCCAGGTGCTGTATCAAGAATGCCTTAAATTGGACTGCTGGCAAAGCCCCGAGATTCTGGGTATACTGTCGGGAAAGGCTCGACCTTGCCCGCTATCGTCACTGACTCGGTACGAACTGAACTGAGATCATCTATGGAACCTATCGGGCTTGTGGGAGGAGAACGAATGGCGGGAGCGTGTGACAACGCCCTAGCGCTCACAACAGCATTCGCGGCACGTCTGTGCACCTTCATGTGTACATTGAGATTAGAGCGCTGCCCAAAGCGCTTGTCGCAATGCTCGCATTGCAGCGGCCTCTGCTTGAAGTGAACAGTCTGCCTGTGAATCTTCAACGGCCTTTTTCCTCCAAAACTCTTGGGACACATGTCGCACTTGTAAGGCTTCTTCTTAAGGTGCACGGTAGTCATGTGAATCTTCATGTTGTCCTTGCGACCGAAACCTTTGTGACAGTGCTCGCATGTGTACGGCCTCTCCTTCAGATGAACCGCAGCCGTGTGGCGATCAAGAGATCCTTTTTGTCCAAACTGAAGGTCACATTGACTGCATGCAAATGGACGGGCCTTGTGATGAGTCCGGGACACATGGCGGTTGTGGCTAGAGATACCACTGAAGCTCTTTCCACATAAGGCACATTCGACCCGTTGCTGGGAGGCCTGTGGGCGGCGAGATGTGGCTGATGGGCGAGTGGTGTGTGAAGCGGCCTGGAGAGGCAGTTGATAGAGGGGATGTTGCAAAGACGGGATAGGTGAGTAGGCTTGGTAGTGGGCCGTTTGCTGGGGAGGATATTGAGGAGTAGGTGAAAACAGGGGAGGGAGGGATGTTAATGAATTGATTGGAGATGACAGCGAATCGAGAGAGGAGGATGCCGAGAGCGCGGAAGTTGCGACGCTTAGTGAAGAGACAGACGGCAGTGGTTGGTGCGATTGTGGCTTCGAAAGTTGTTGTTGGCGCGGTGGTTGTGTTGAAGTTTCGAGTTGATGGCTGTTTGAAGAATAGTGTTGAAAATGTTGCGCAGGAAGGGTTCTAGAGACCCTGTCGTCAGCGCAAACAAGAGCGGTGATGTCCATGGCGAAAGAGTTGAGGTGTAAAGGGCGTTTGAGGGGTGGAGAGGAAGAGAAAACGGAGGTTTGCGATATGCGGAGTCTCGAGGTATGCGACGTAAGGGTAAGAGGGGAGGGTGCGGTAGTGTGACGTCAAATAGCGGTGATTAGGATGAAGGGACGACAGTTGTGAGTGGGGGCGGCGGAGCTTATATGCAAAGAGCGAGAGGTGATGAGACGTAGACGGCGTAGCAAAGAGTTGAACGTGGGGGCATTAGC